CCCCCCCCCCCCCCAGTGGCGGAGACAGACCCCCTGCATCACTTTTATAGATTATTCTGCTTGGCACCAGAAAGGGTCCTTTGCTCTCTGTAATAATGCTAGTTGCTAACACGGACTAAGCACTTGCCATGTTTGAGATACTGTTGTAAGCACCTTACACATGTTTTCAGTGGTGAGCGATTGCCCTAGGGGTGGCTGAGAGGCTAGCGCACAGCTTCAGGGTTCCCATGGAGGGCGTCATTTAGGCAGATCCTTTGCTAAAAAGAACCTGCCTCCCTTTTTAGAGCTGCATCGCCTCACCTGGTTGCACTATTTTCTATACCCCAGCAGGAGATCACCTTGAATCAAGGCGCATTGTTGTCACAGGGCCATGGCCATGGCTGCAGGAGTAACCCACCACCTATTTTGGGGAGTACGGCCCCTGATTCATCTAAGACCCTTCTGTGGATATTCCGCCACCTCCCAGTGCGGCTTTCTGCCCTGGCTGCACTTACACCCCACAATCATACCATATCTCTCCTGCTGAGAACTCTCCCCTTGCTTAGAGGAGATAGGACATCTGTGGGAGAAAGGGAAGCCGTGTCTTCATGTGTTGCTTTCTTAGGAGGGAGGAAGCTTTGCTAGATACCCCACAGAGACTTTACATTTCATTGGTCAGAAATTTTTTCTAGAGAAACATCAGTTGCCTCCTGTATGCACCCCAACTGAGAATCAAACCTGCAACCTGGGTGTGTGCCCCGATCGGGAATTGAACTCAGGTGTACAGGATGATGCTCCAACCAACTGAGCCACACTGGACAAGGACAGAATTTTTTTATTTACACATTTCTAAACCCAACCTTCACAGGAGTGCGACCGCCAGGATTATTGTAGCCTCCCTGGGATCTGCCCCCAGAGCGGGGATGAGGTGGACTCCCCGGAATCATGTGAACAGAGGTAGATACCTGAATAAATGGAGGTGAGGCAGAGAGAGCTGGGGACTGCACAGTGGGTAACAGCCAGCAGTGTCCTCTACAGGCCTCCATACTTCACAGTGTAACTGTCCTTCCCACCTCTGCCCCAGGAAAAGCCTGACTTTCCTTCAATTATCACCTAGCCAGGGCTGGGTCCTGCTGTTCTCCAGGGAAAATAATTGATCCCTTCTTGGGTCCCCATGCCACTCTCTTCTATTATAGCACTTGCACCTATTTTCTCTCT